AAAATACTGGCCTAAAGAGGAGCCCATGTTCCCCGGATCCTCCGTTGGCTGTGTTCCTGGTACCAACAAACACGCTAAAAAGCTTCGTAAAGCGTCTTTGCCACCGCCTTTTTCAGATTTCGTTGACGCTTAGCTTCATCAGATAACAAACGAACCGTCAGGCACAAGGCACATCCACAGTACACAAACCTAAAGCCCAGACTCAATCAATCACAGAGACAGTTAAGACCGCGACGAAGCCACAACCCCAGACCGCAGCTTCTCCGGCTACTCACATTGAACGTTGAGCAGCACCGAGGCCTGCTGTCGCGCGTGCAGCTCCCGGTGTGACGTGACACACCGGACCCGCTGGCCGGCCATGACCCGGGTCACGTTCAGGGTCAGGTGACTCTGCGTGGAGTATAGCTGCGCCGCGGCACTCAGCTGCGTCACAGTCCGACTCTGTCCGGTCACATTGACCTCTGGCTGGCCGAGTGACCAGGTCACGTCGGCCGGCGGCAGCGACCTCTCCGAGACACAGGTCAAGGTCACCACACTGTTCTCGAGCACGTCCAGCGGCGAGTCGGCCGTTGGTCGCTTGTCGCCCGACCAGAATGAAGGGCTCCTCTGGCGGCACTGTGAACAGGCAGACATGGCCGTCATGCTCGGCGCCCAAGACACGCTCTACTGTAAAATGTGTCCGAAGCTTTTGAGCACTCAACATGTTTTTTTACTTGGACATCAAGCGATGTGCATATTTCACATGATGAAAACTGACGCCGCTGATTATTGCAAATGAACAATGCTTTCACAACTTACTTCGTATCTACTATCAGCTCCCAAAAATTGTACAAACCTCGCGTGAGCTCTTGCTTGCTTAAACAAGCGTGGCACCTTGCCCAAGGACCACTGCATAGGAAATTCCATGCGACGCTTACAAAGCTTACAAATGGGAGCAGGTGTTCAGCTCGGGACTGGGATTACTCAGGATTACTGGCCGCAGCGCCAGATTTTTGTTAATCCACACGTTAGGCTCGTGCGCCTCATGAACTCTCGTGGACTTATCTCGCCTGACATCCAAGAGTTTCCTCAAGTCGGAAGCGTCCGAACTCTTAAGCGCCCAAGGTGCTGAGTCAGTGGCCTTCGACCAACGCTCTGCCACATCCCTATTCCCTGCAAAGCTGGCCTCAGCCGGCGCCGCTTAAAAACAGTCAAACAAGGTGATTTATGAAGGCAGCTGCAGCGTTTGGATTGGTCGATCTAAGGTTATCATTCCGGTGGATGATATTGACAGCTGATATATGGCGTCGTCCGCGGCGTGCGGCTTTGATTAGGGGATCTTCCATTTCAAGATGGAAGTTTGCGCTGGTGACTGCAGGCCCGATTACACGAGCTTTATTGGCCCTCCGTCGGCGCCGGCTGCAATGCCGCTGGAAATTCTGCGCCACGGCTGGCGACCAGCCCGCCAGGAAGCCGAGGGTCAGCCGGCCACGCCCCTGCCCCTCCCCCCCCCCCCCTCCTTCCTGTCGTGCGACGTGCCCTGCCCAGAGCTTGCGAGCAGGACTGCCGGACGGTCAAAGCTGGGCTCTGGGGGCGTTCCCTCCGCTAAACGATCGGCATATTTGTTTTGACGGTGTGGCACGCGCGACGTGTGTTCTTCGAGTAAGCCGGGTATTTTTCTGCGAGGTTTCAAGTCAAAGTCAGTCCGGCTGTAATGAGCTCGAGAAAGCCGAAAACAGGATCAGCGAGGCGTGCTTTTAAAGCAAAGTCCACGAATGATTATTGAAAAGCTTGACAAGACGTTCACGAAACACGTAATGTCAATTTCCTTTCACTCTGGCTGGCACTTACGCACGATCGCCATAAAACGACGAACAACAAAGCGATAATTTTGAACATGTTTATGTGTTCATTGTTAAGACAATGAAGTGTTTATGGCATAGCATTCCGTTATGACTTTCAACAAACAGCTCAGAACAAGACACAAAACGAGCAGAAATTGCTCAGAAAGTCGCTCTCTAACGCTGAATCGCAAACACATTCTGAAATCTGTAGGGTGTGGACAAAAAAGGAACAGGAACAGACCACCACAAAGCACTCGTGCAACGTAATCGGAAAAAAATTGACAAATGATATTGAAGCCAGGTTGCCTAGACCACAATAATGCACGAGATATAACGCTGCCGAACATGAAATTGAAATAAATTAAAACAGTTACTAATAAAGAATGCACGTCGATTGGAAAGAAAAATATTTCAAGAGAGAAGGGAGAACGGAGAAGAGAGAGAGAGAGAGAGAGAGAGAGAGAGAGAGAGAGAGAGAGAGAGAGAGAGAGAGAGAGAGAGAGAGAGAGAGAGAGAGAGAGAGAGAGAGAGAGAGAGAGAGAGAGAGAGAGAGAGAGAGAGAGAGAGAGAGAGAGAGAGAGAGAGAGAGAAGAGAGAGAGAGAGCAGAGAGAGAGAGAGAGAGAGAGAGAAGAGAGAGACAGAGAGAAGAGAGAGAGAGAGAGAGAGAGAGAGACAGAGAGACAGAGAGAGAGCAGAGAGACAGAGAGACAGAGAGAGAGAGAGAGAGAGCAGAGAGAGAGAGAGAGAGAGAGCAGAGAGACAGAGAGAAGGAGAGAGAGAGGAGAGGAGACAGAGAAGAGAGGAGAGAGACGAGAGAGAGAGAGAGAGAGAGAGAGAGAGAGAGAGAGAGAGAGAGAGAGAGAGAGAGAGAGAGAGCGAGAGAGAGAGAGAGACGAGAGAGAGAGAGAGAGAGAGAGAGAGGGGTCGGGGCACGAGAAGGATGGATAGAATGAAAGGAAGAGGGACAAGGAGAGGGAGACTGAGACAACACAGGGGTAGAGGCATGGAGGGAGATATGAGCTGGAGTGAAAAAGAGGAAAAAGAACGTGCAGAAAACGGCAAGAAAACCAGCATGGAAACAAACGCAGACACCGAAAGAGGGCTTTCATACTTCCTACGGGCGGAAGCGACCCCGGCCCCGGCTCCGGTCCCGGTCCCGGTCCCGATCCCTATCCCTATCCCTATCCCAATCCCGATCCCGATCCCGATCCCGGCCGCGGCCCTAGCCCCAGCCCCTGCCCCGGTCTACCCACCAACGACCCGAAGAAGCGCGGCGCGAGGCCGTGGCAGCGCCGGGTCGCGGCAGTGCCAGAGGCCGGCGTCGGCCACGCGCACGCGCCGGATCTGCAGCCGGCCGAACGGTAGCGGCCGCAGCCGCTCTGACACGGGCGCCGGCGCGCCGTCGTGGAACCAGCGGCCGGCCGGCGCGCCGGCGTCGTCGCAGTCGAGCGTCACGTCGCCGCCGGCGGCGGCCGTGACCTCAGCCGTGACCTCGGGCGCTCGGTGCTCACGGCCGGGCTCACCGCGGCCATGGCGCAACCGGTGGTTGCTGCTGGAGCGCTGCACCCCGTCTGCAATAGGGAGCGGCTGTCAGCGCTGTGCGACGTGTCGCCTGTGGGGAGGGCGTAAGGGTGCGGGAGAGGAAAGCGGCGCATGATACCACGACGAGACGTACACGATCCGAGCTCTGCGAAAGGCATC